AATTAACATGTAATTAGGGTTTAGATCTTACCTTGATTGTTATGTAGCAATAACAATCACAAACCACAAAGTCATTGACTCTTGAAAGCTTAGTGCCCCAAGTGTTGCACCTCTAATGGAGTCACAAACACCATAAGCAACAAGATGACTTAGGAGAGGGAGGAGGAGACATAAAATTCGTCCAAGGAACTCTTGAGAAGCATAGGGCCGAATTTTGGGAGCCTTAGGGTTCCTTTTATAGGTGAGCTGCTAAGGTTTCAGTCAAAACCCTAATTGGATTGCTTAGCCACCAAGCAGCCCTTTAGATCCTTCCAAAATCAAGGCCTGGACGATTTCTAAGTGGGCTTCCACCTTGAATTCGTCCACCTTATTCCTAAGGGATCTACAGCCCAAAACCAATTATCTTGTAATTGCAATTCCAGTCCCCTAAGTTCAATTAATCTCTTTTGACCACAAAATTAATTCTAAATTAATTATTGATCAATATTAATTAAACAATATGATTTCTCTTTTAATATATTATTCATATATTATATTAATAATCATAATTAATCCTCTTTCTCCTTAATTTATCCTATCAATTGCTATGGTGAAGGCAACCCAAAAGGACCATGCTCATAATCGGGTCATGTACATACCAAAATAGTTATGGGCTTAGACACCTAATCCAACACCAACACCATCATTCAAATCACAACCGCCAGTTACTTTCCGATCAAACTCATTACAACTAATTTCCCAATATGACGCAAACAAGTTCAATCAACCCTAATTGGTCTTGATCTTGAAAACTTCCTCACTGGCGATTCCACACCAATCAAAACGATAACTGATAAAGATATCACCACACAAAATCCAGCATACATAGTCTGGTATCGTAAATATCAAATCATCTTCAACTAGCACAATTCTTGGAAGCTGCTCCGACGTCATTCAACCAATCATCACATCCACCACCACTGCTAAGGAAGCTTGGGATCAGTTAAGCAAGAGTTATGCCATTGCCAGTCAATCTCATTCTAGAATCATGTCACTCAAGTCCAAACTTGCTAAGAATCCCAAAGGAAATCACTCCGTCACTGAATGTCTCAATGATATGAGACTCATCTCCAATGAACTTACACTTGTGCAAAGCCCTGTTCATGAAGAAGATCTCTTGGTCCACATACTCAATCACCTTGGTGGAGAGTATGGACCAATTACTGCTGCTCTGAAGGTCCGCGAAACCTCCATTTCATTCACATAATTATTTGACAAACTTGTTGAATTTGAAAGATCCCTCAAGGAAACCGAGGTTGATGTTGCTCCAATCATTGCCACTGCTAACTACTCACAACACCAATCTGGGCGGTTCAACAATCGCTCATCAAACGGATATTCTTTCCGTCCCAATAGATCCACTGCTGAAAATCAGTCGTGAAATAATCGAGTTACCAACAACCAGAACAGGAACAATCGCTCATCATCATTCTGTCACTTCTGTGCCATACCTGGTCACAAAACCAGAGAATGCCAAAAACTCACCCGCTTCCTTAAAGATCATCACATCACCAATCACAACCCAGTTGCTAATAACACTTCCTCGAGTCAAACTTCCGCATCCAACCCCGCTCCATGGATGTTTGACAGTGGAGCCTCTCATCATCTTACCTCTGATCGATCCGCTCTTCACACTGTATCAGAATATGGTGGACCGGATGTAACTCTTCTAGGCGATGATACCACTCTTTCTATCTTTCACACCGGTCACACTAATCTTCCCACTTCATCTCGTCCTCTATCCTTATCTAATGTTCTTTGTGTTCCCCTGTCTTCGTAAAAATCTTATATCTGTTGCTAAATTATGTCGTGCTAATCGAGTTTTTGTTGAATTCTTTCCTTTCCATTTTCTCGTGAAGGATCTATGAACGGGGGCGTCTCTAATGTGGGGGGAGAGCATAAATGATGTCTACTACATCAACCCTTCCTTGAAGTTGTAAATCAACACCACCATTAAAGCATCACTTCTCGATTATCATCTCACACTTGGCCATCCATCTACTCACATTTTAAAACATCTTGTTATAGATATAAATCTTAGTTTCAAGTCCTTTTCGCAATTTAATTTACATTGTGCTTCATGCTCCATTAATAAAAGTCACAAAGTTCCATTTGGTGAAAACTCTTTTGTTGCAACAAAACCTTTTCAACTCATTTACTCGGATGTATGGGGCCCTATGCAAAAATCCATTGATGGCTTTGTCTATTATGTGGTGTTTGTTGATTACTACTCCAAATACATATGGCTTTATCCAATCAAATATAAATCCAATGTTGCCAAACTATTTCCACAATTCAAGACCTTGGTTGAAAAATATTTTAATACACTCATTATATCTATATTCACTGATAATGGTGGGGAGTATCAAGTTCTTATTCCCATGTTTCAATCCATGGGCATCTCTCACTACACCACTCCTCCGCATACACCCGAACAAAATGCATAGTCGAACGTCACCATCACCACATTGTCGAAACTGGTCTCGCTCTCTTACACTTTGCGGGTCTTCCTTCTCGTTTTTGGTCTTATGCTTTCCAAACAGTTGTTCACCTCATCAATCGTTTACCAACACCAATTCTAAACTCCCAAAGTCCATTTAACCTTATCTATGGTCGTCACCCGAACTACAAGAAACTCAAACCCTTCGTATGCCTTTGCTATCCATGGCTCCGTCCCTATTCCACCTCAAAACTTCATCTTAGATCTTCCCCTTGCATCTTTTTAGGTTATTCCGCTGCCAAATCGGCCTACAAGTGTTTTCATCCTGAAACTCGCCAACTCTACCACTCTTGCCATGTTGAGTTCCACACACACATCTTCCCTTACAAAAATTCATCACTTCCTCTTTCCTCCTTACCCATTGTTGAGGAATTCTTTACCTCCAATACACCACTCTCACATAGCTCTCCCCCCACCCCCACCCCACATGCTCCTGTACCACCTTCTCCTACTCCCACCCCTCCAAATACACCCATATCCTATACTCCTCTCCAATCGGTTCCCACACCTACACCTGTTGTCCCCGAGGCCACCTCCGTCGAATCGCAACCTGATCCGGCATCTCCCACTGGCAACCCGTCACCACCACCCTCACCCCAACCGAATTCCCCACCCACTCCGCCATCCCCTCCACCACCTACACGTCATCGCAAACTCAACATACAAATCATACTCTCATAGTAGGAGGGTATGATTGTAAATTTAACTAGAACATGAGGAAGAGGATAGGAGAGTATGGTGATAAATTCAACTAAAAATATTCTCATCACAAAAAGTCGAGGATTTTTTAATCAAGTTTAAGCAACTCAAAAATACATAGAGTATGTTCGGTAACGAGCTTTTAGCCTTTAACTTTTAAGTAAAAAACTCGAATCAATGAAAAATTATGTTCTTTGCTTCAAAGTAAATTGACAAAATCCCCCTTTGGTGCAAAATTTATTTCAAAATCTATGTAAAAATCTTTCTTAAACACAATTAACAAAAATGTAGATAAGGGGCCAATCCCCGTGTGTTTATAGGCTATCTGGTCAAAAATTACAGTTCCATGGAAATTACATTTTAATTATATATTTCAAATTAGACCAAAACCAATCAACCATAATTGATCTTGACTTGATCATTGAAGCCATTCATTCCATTACTACATCTGAACATGGTCCCAATCAATCGCTTCATCTTTAAATCCCCCATATTCTGATAGCTGGAGCTTGTTACGCCCCAACTTCCCCATCACCGAAAGACCTGCAAGTGGACCCCACACAAAGTCAAATGCAAGAAACAGCAACCTACTTTTATTATATATATATATATATATATATATATATATATATATGTATATATTTTTACAAAAGTACATTGCTATAATTGGGTATTAAGAATCATATACCTTCCACTACTTTATAGAGAGCAGACCACCATCTCTCCCTAGGGACCTGTGAACGTTCAAGTGACTCTTCAATCTCTTTATCATGTTCCCCTTTCAAAACACCCTGAAGAGTTACAACCGCATCCTTTGTTCTTTTAAGAATATTATTATTATCATTTTCAAACTCCATATGAACAAGGTCGTTGTGAGATGAATTCAGGGTAGCAGAAAGTGCAAACTGGGCGGCAGCCGCCCACCGCGTGGAGGCCAGCCACCTCTTCTGTCCGGCCACCGCCGCCTTCTCCACCTTGTCACCTTCCGCTTCAAATGCTAAGGTACGCAAATACTGTGCATTTGCAGCCCCTGTACTTTGTACCATTTTTGAAAATGCAGTTTGCTCATTTTGCAATAGCTTTCCTGGAGCATCATACTCAACAACCTGGAATAAAATCAAATAGCAAATTATTTACATTTTTTTTTAAATAAAAAATAAAGGGAGATATATAATATATATACCTGACCAGCATCAAGAAGAAGGATGCGATCACAATCAATGATGGTGTTTAAACGATGAGCAATGATGATCATAGTACATGATTTGAATTCTTCACGGATTGTTTTTTGGATAAGTGCATCTGTTCTAACATCAACAGCTGCAGTTGCTTCATCAAGAACAAGAATCTTTGATCTTCGAAGCAATGCACGTGAAAGACTTAGTAATTGTCTTTGTCCTACACTGAAATTCTCTCCAGCCTCTGACACCTCGGCATCTAACCCCAAAGGATTCCTCCTGATAACATCCTTCAAGTGGGCCCTCTCCAAAGATTCCCAAAGATCAGGATCATTATGCTCATTGAAAGGGTCAAGATTGAATCTCACAGTTCCTTCATTCACAAAATATCAATCAATCAGCAAAAACTACATTTTTCTTTTGTTATTTAATCAAATCAGGATTCAGGAAATTCAACATACCTGAAAAAAGAACCGGTGCTTGAGGTATAATCCCAAGAACTTTCCTCAAATCAGTCAACCCAAACTTCCCAATATCAGAATTATCAATTACAATTCTACCCCTCTCCAATTCCACAATCCGAAACAAAGCATTCAACATACTCGATTTCCCCGCTCCTGTTCTTCCAACAATTCCAACTTTATCACTTGCAGGAATCAAGAAAGTCAACCCATGGAGGACAGGTGGCAGCTCAGGCCTATACCTCAAAACAACATCCTCAAACTTTATAGAACCCTCAGAAGGCCAGCCAGGTGGCGGCCTGTTATCCTCAATAACACCAGGAGCCTCAGAAGGCAATTCAATATAAGTCCCAACACGTTCAACAGCATTCAAACTGTTTTCAGCTAAACTTGCGAGTCTAAGAACAGTTGTTAACAATGTTGTGATGTTTAATGCATAACTTAGAAGCAATCCCATGGTGGATGCAAATGCTTCTTGGTTTCTTGCTTTTCCATTTTGCATAACTGCAAAAGTTGCAGTTAGCCAAATCATGAGCCCACCTACTGTTTCTAACCGAATTGCTAACCAACGGTTTGCACTCATGTTGACTAATGTAAACCGGATGTTGTTGTCCATTGAGTTTCCATTGATTTTTGCCATTCGATCATATGCTTTGTATGCACGAATTGTGGAAAGACCATTTAGGGCTTCACCAAATTGAGCATATACAGGTGATCTTGTGATGGAATCTAATCGTTTTACTTCACGTGCTGTGCTCTGAGAGAATGAATAATGATTAATGAGTTAATGACAATGAAATTTCATATTTGAGTATAAATGTGGAAATGACATACCTGATAATAGAGATAAGCTCCATAGAAGACTAAGAGAAGTGGTAATATGGCCCATAGAGACATGGTGCTTAATAATCCAATTAGAACAAAAGTTGACAAAAGCTGCGACACCTGTCCCAAAAACATGTTCACAAATGGGGCAACATTTCGATCTATGTCACCAAGATCTTTTGAGAATCTGTTAATGATACGCCCAAGGGGATTCGTGTGGAAAAAGACCATAGGAGCCCTCAATATGGACCCAAGCATAGCATTATGCAACTTCCTAGCAGCATGAAGACTTGTCACAATCAACCAAAAAGAGTTCACCAATGTCACCATAACCTGAAAATCCCAAATTGTAAGTTTTGAAAGAAAACAAAAATTGCAATTTTTGTGTGATTGATTAGTAACATACTTGACCAAGTGATAGAAGTGCATAGATGAGATTATAGAATAGTGGACTGTAGTTCTTTGGGGTGCTTTCATCTGTCCAAATACTTAACCATGAGCTACTCAGTATTCTTAAAGTTTCTGTTGCTGCATAACATCCGAATAGTATAACCACAACAAACCACCCTCCTAATGCATCTTTATACCTGAAATAAATAAATAAATAAAGTAAATATAAGTATAGATGTATGTATGTATGTATGTATATGTAAGTGGTTTACCTCTTCAAAACATTGAAGCTGATTACACCTGTTTCGCGTTCCTCTTGTTTAATAAGAACAGATTTTGGTCCTTTCTTTTTATCATCTTTTGCTGACTCACCATTGACACCATTAGCAACGGGTTTTGATACCTTTGTATCAGTTTCTTCAATGGCTTCCTGTTCTTCCACATATTCCTCCATCTTTCCTGCATTTTCCATTAACTTTTGAAAGAGTGCACCATGCTCTGAAAGTTCCTCAAATGTTCCCTCCTCTTTCACCATGCCTTCATGGACCAAAAGGATCCTATCCACTTGTGAAAGAAAATGTAGCTGATTTGTAACTAGAACTCGTGTTTTTCCTTTTAATTCTTCTTTAATACATTTCTCAAACACCTGTCGACCTACATGAGCATCTAGAGCACTCAAAGGATCATCAAACACGAATACATCTGAGTTGGAGTATACAGCTCTAGCCATGGAAACTCTTTGTTTTTGCCCTCCACTAATATTCACCCCTCTTTCACCAATCTCAGTAAGATCACCACCCTATACCATAAAAGATCATATAACTCATGAGTGACTTATGAACACAAGAAACTGGAGATTGAAAATTGATGAAACATAATGATATATACTTACAGGAAGCAAGTCCAAGTCATGGTGAAGTGCAGTTACATCTATTGTCTTCTCATATCTACCAGATTCAAAGGTTGATCCAAACAATATGTTGTCACGTACCTGAAAAATAAACATATATAAATTACTAAGTTGGAATTAAGAAAAAGGAATGATATGAGTATATGACTTATGAGTATGACATAGTACATACAGTTGCATTGAAGATCCATGAGACTTGTGGGACATAAGCAACAGTTCCTCTCATAACAACATGTGAATCACTGACAGGTGGAAGCTCCCCAAGCATGGCAGATACAAGTGATGTTTTACCCTCTCCTGTACTTCCCACAATTGCCACCAGACTACCAATTGGTATATCTAAGTTTATATTTGACAGTGTTGGTTTATCAGGCTGCAACAACCATAACAGAATTTGCAATTAGTCCCCACATTTTGTCATAACTTAAGTTAAAAAAAAAAACACATATTAAATAAAAAGACACCTTTGAATCCCATGAAAAGAAGCCATTTCTAATTGAGATAGCTGGAAGCCCTGGTTCAAGAGGTGGATTTGGAAGAAGAAGTCTCTCTTCAGCTAATAGAAGATCTTCCAAACGTTTCAAAGACACATTAGCATTTACAACCTGCAAATGAAAACAAAAACAGTTAGAAGACCAAAGAGAAAGAGAAAGAGAAAGAGATGGCTTGTTCTACAAGAAACTTGTGTAAAGATATAGCATGTGGAATGAGAAGTCATGAACCTGAGTGACCATATTTGGAAGCATGAAGAGTGGAAAACGTAATACAGCGAATAAAGAAAGTGATGTGAAGGCTCGAGCAGGTGTCAGGTCTCCTCCAAATAATGTAAACAACCCAAATGAAACCACAATCACAACCACTGGAATACTATTCAAGAAAAAAGTATTCAACTGCAAAAAGAAAAAGAAATAATGTCAAAATCACAAAAAAGTATAATTCTTTGATCATTCCTTGATAACATACCGATCCTAGCATTTGTACTCTTCGAAACCATGACAATTCATCTGTTCTAACAACTTGGACCTTTTCTTGGAAACTATTCTCCCAAGCATAGCATCTGATACAAAAGTCAAATAAAGTCAAAGATGGTATTTTAAATAATTAAAAAAAATATTGGGAACAAAGAGAGAGGGAGAGGAGAGTACTTGACAGTGTCCATGGCTGCTAAGATTTCATTCATGAGACCAATTCTCTTATCGGTTCTCTGCAGTCCTTCCTTTGACATTTTTTGCATTCTACTAATAACCAAGGTCTGTTTCAAAATGACAAATTACAAGTTATATGTATGTATGTATGCATGCATGTATGTATGTATGTATGTATGTATGTATGAGTGATAGTACCTGTATGGGGAACATAAGAACTAGCAATAATGCACCAAGGACTGAAGCAACACCAAGTTGTTGGTAGAGAAGAACCAAAGCAAGAATGATACGAAAAGGTGCAGACCACAAAGTGTGAAGGGATTGGGTTACTTGCTGTTGAAAAAGGAAAGGAAAGAAAATTAGAAAGATAATAAAAATATATATATATATATATATATATATATATATGACTAAAATGGAGGAAAATGGTAATGAAACATGCCCCAAGTGATTCAGAATCAGTTGTCATCAAGTTGACTATCTTCCCAGATGCAATCTTTCTGCGACTCTCATTAGTTAGCCTCAAAGTCTTCCGGAAGACTGCAGCAATCTTTGAGGAAAAGTAGGTTCAATTAGGTGTGTACAAAAACAAGCTCCAAACATCCTTAAAATATGCTAAAAAAGTAATTACCAGAGTCGAACGAAGGCGATAACCAACACGCATCACATTCTGAAAATATTGAGCCTCACACAACACACCAAGTACCTAAATGAACCAAAATAACTTTCTTTAACATTTTACAAATTTACCCTTGGTTATTGGGAAAAAGGAAAAGTAATAGGAACTTGGAATTGTTTAAGAATAATAAACATAGAGAAAAAAGTTATAGAATTTATACCACTCCAACGAAAATTGTGAAAGCATAGATGTAACCAATCTGAGCTGGACCACGTTCTTGCATAGACTACAAATTATCCATTATTAAAAATAGTAAAAAAGGGAATAAAATCATAAATCATTGGAAATGTTTGGAAATTAATAGTAAACTCACCAATAACAGTTGGTTCAAAATCAGTGGTCCAACAAACTGAGAAAGATCATTGCCAATCTACAAATGGATAAAAAAAAAGGAACAAATCATGTGAGATTCAAAACTATGCAAAAACAATTGAACTCAAAAGTCAAAACCAAAATATTCATTAAATACCTTCCAAAAGCCTCCCCACCAAAACCTGTAATTAAATAAAAGTTATAATCTTTTAACAGAAACATGAATTAATATTAACAGAATTTTGTATGAGAATGTTATTATACAAACCTTCCTCCAAGACTACGATGTAAAGCCCTTAAAAGCCATGGTTTAGGTTTGCGGAGCTCTTCTTCCCAATATATTTGGAATCTGAAGGGCAAAAATGGAATTAGCATTTGTGGAAAAATATATATAAGTAAAAACTAGAAACTGGAAACAACAACATACTTGCTGTTAAGTGTTTCTGTTTGATCCCAAGTGTCAAGTTTCCATATATCTTTCTCTGTGAGAGGTCTTTTGTAACCTAAAAGCATGAGTGGATTCATCCAAGAGAAGAAGATACCTAAAAAGAAACAAGAAAAGATATTATAAAAAGATTCAAGTTGTTAATTTGTAAAACTAAATTTCAAATTAAACCAATAAAAGGACTTACTAGAAATAATGTTGGTGCGTCTTTCTGGACAAATTTCTTCACTTCCACCAAGTTCTTCATATTCACCATCATCCAACGGGTCGACCCGTATTGGGGTGTAACCCGGATAAGGATCCAAAGTTGGAAGATAGGCAATCAAGCATACCCCAAACAAAACCTACATCAGATAAAACAAATGTCTAGAAGATTCATAAATTAAAAAAAGAAAGAAAGAAAGAAAGAAACTAACCTGGATGGCAACCTCACTGAAATAGAGATACAGTACATCTCTGCAAAAAAAAAAAGTTTGAATTATTATTATAAAACTTTCATATGGTGTAAATATGCAAGAATATAGTATTAAAAAACTGACCTTGTGTAATATTGGCTCACAGAAAGCACAAGGTTGAACAAGACAGCATCTCCAAGCAAAGCATAAATGACACCAAATCTCATAAACCAACGAACTTCACAAACATAAATTACGGTTTCGACCCCGAGCACAATCAACACACAGCACCATGCAAGAGTCTTGATAACTAAGGTAACAATCTGCAAAAATAAATGAAAATCTTCAAGTTTGCAACAACTTATAGCATTTATAATCGATTGGTAAATTTCACCCCTCCTTTATAGATTTTCTAACTTCCCTAATAGTTAATTAGTTGTTATTAGTATTGTTATTAGCATAAAGTTCATGAGAGGTAGGTTCCATGGCTAATCTAATTCTAGAATATTATCAATCAAATCAAGCACAATAATGAATAATCAATCTCCTGTAGTCCATATTTATAGAGTTATGTTATTATGGAAACAATATATTTACTTAATTAATATTCTACCCTAACATATGCACTTAAATATTCAAGCCTATATGAAATAAGTGTCAAACATCTTATGAGTCAATTCAAGTTGGCAGGTGACAGAATTTTGGTAAACAGAGAATTCAAAGAGTTAAGTATATTTTGCTTTATAGAAATAAATTTACCAAAAAGGAAAAAAGAAGACAATAATACACTTCTCTAATCAGTTTCTCAAATCAATATTCAATAATCAACTAACATTGCCATAAATATACATTCATATCTACTTGCATGTAACTGAAAGAAAAAATAATATTTTTCATAAAATCACCATGAGAAATTAAATATCCTACTACTTATTCTTCCTACCCATATATAGGTTATAACGAATGAACAATTAAAGATAACTTATACAAACATGCCATTAAGTCATTAAGTCGATCAGAAAGAAACAAACCTCGTATGGGGCAAGACCAGTCTCTGCATCAACATTGAAAGCCGAAATCCCCATTATCAATCTGACCAAAGGCTCAGCAGTACAGTAAAGAGCCAATAATCCCAAAAAGTAATTGTAGAGATTCGACCTCAATTTGAACCTTTGCACTTTGAAATTCTTCTTCGTCACCCATATCCTGTATATGCAAATTCCAAGAAGTACCAAATGGGAAATTCCAGTAACCAGTGAATCGGTTGCACAAGGTGTGTAAGGCCCAAATTCGTTTTCCACCGCCGTCGCCCATACACCATTTTCCACAGGACGACAGTATGAGTCCAAGGGATTAAACCCCATCTTCTCCGATTGAAAATGAATCAGCTGCTTCTAAATTGCAAACTTCATTGGATGTTTTGTTTTTGCTTTCCTGCAAAAACAAGCATTCCAGATCACTCCAAATCCTGAGAAAAAGTATTTAGGATATGTATGGGAACTCGAAACATGTATAACTGGTGCAGCAATCAGTTCATATAGAAAAGTCAACGGCTGCTAATTTCAATCTTATTGAATTCCTTCACACAACAGATTATACCAGATTTAGGCTTCAAACGAGTGACGCTTCACCGATTCCGTAAAAACTAATAAACTAATGATTAAAGAACGAGAATAGTGATCGTACTTCGTAGTGAATCTCAGATAATATTAAGTAAGAAACGAACATGAAAAAAACCCAAGAACCCATTAGTTGCAGGGACTTACAAGTGATGATATGATTGTGAATACCTATGAGATTGAGATCTTTGGTAGAAGCAAAGATCCCAGCCACAGAAACGGAGCGATTGATGATGATTAGGTTATAAAGGTGATGAATTCGGCGGAGAGAAGAGAATATGATTGAATGTTGAATGATTTATGGACCTAAGAACTGGGAGATAAAGGACAAAGGGACTTTTAACCCAGTAAAAGATCGAAAGTGGGCGTCTTTTTCCTTCTGTGGTCTACACACCACTGATACTGCAATTTATGTCTCGTTATCAACGGAATCGAATGTGAGTTTCACATTTTTATTTTGATTTATATACTTTTTATCAAAAACTTAATAGTTAATTAATTGTAAAGTTGCTCAAAAGATATTTCATTTATATTCCAACAACTTTAATAAAGAATTATGATATATATCGTATCATATTAAAAAAAATCATATATACAAAGCGGAAATGAAATTTATACAAATCCAATTTTGATTTGGCTTGCTAGTATTACGATTAACTTTCATAAAACATGTTTGTTTTGTGCTTCGCAACGAGTCCAAGCTTTTGATAGAGCATCATACTTTTATTTCTTTCTATTACAACATCATATTTTGAAAAATACTTTTAAAATAAGAAAATAACTGAAAGTATAATATTGTAATTAATATACCTTTTACACTTAATCTTATATGGTTCATGTTGTAGTGCCCGAAAAAATCCAAATAATAAGGTGTGAAAATCCTTCAAACTACTTATCTAGAAATTGCAAACAAATTTTTTTAAATACATATTTTGTTGACAATACAAGGATAGGATCTTATGCAACTTCAACTATTTTTGTGAGACTGGACACCTGAGGATATAGTAGCATGCTTATAAATATATTCTATTTGTTGTCCGCATATTTGCATGCATACAGTAAGTCACAAGCTGCAAGCTTTTTTTTCTGCTATTTGTAACCATGAGGATGCCATTCAACATTGGAACTAAATTCCCATATTGGAACAACTATGCTATTCCATAAGGGCAATTTAATCTTTTTGGATTATAACGTAACGATTAAGATAGAATTTACACAACCACATTACTTCTCTTTTTTCATTTACAGTTTTTCTCCAAGATGGAACCTTTATGATGGACATGATGTTGTTTTTCAACGCTTCTTGTACACATGTATTTTGATTTGGGATATTAGACACTTTCTTCAAAGATCAATAATTTTCCAAAACTATAGAAACCATATATTCGAAATAATAATCAGTTCCAAGATTTAAAAGATATTATATATATATATATATATATATATATATATATATATATATATATATATATATATATATATGTTGGTTCCCTTGA